TTGTAGTTCTCGTATTTACTAAAATAGAAAGTAATGTATGTATAAACTTCTGAGGTTCATGGGCGGATCGTAAGAATTTACAAATGAGTTATGATATAAATAAATAAAAGAAGAAATGAAATCTGAATGAGACTCATTCTAAATAGCAACCAAGGGGGCGTTTATCCGAAAGCATTTTCATTTCCCGTAGACCTAAACCTATTTCATATTTTTCTTGAGTTGGCAATCCCCCCCCCTCCCTCCTTTCTAACGTTCAAAATCCGTTACTGAGGTTTTAAAGGGCTACTTGGACGAAATAAGACCATTTTCATGCAAGTAGTACTTCAATTGGTGCTTCACTATAATTGTAGACATGATAACAACACAGGACGATGGCTTTCTGCCTTCCATGCTCGATGGGATCCTAAAACCAGCTCATGTTTTGGTGTTGGAAGCATGAAATATCCGCGACAGGTCAGTCATTCATCATCATCATCATCAGTCGACCATAAGTCATTCTAACCTATTCGAATATATTGTATGTGAATCATAATTTCCCAAAGACGCTCCCCCCCCCCATTCCACGGACCCCTCACCATTGTTGTGGCGATCCTACATCAAAGACTTTCTGCAAAGGGGAGTTTTGTATGCAATAAATCGCACGTGCATGTTTCTGGCAATTTTTGGCGAAACAAAGTGCACCTAAATGGCACTAACAACGCTAGTGACGCTGTGGCGTGAATACTAGAGAATCGCAGAAAAATTTTGTGCGCAATTTTGAGCCACTTGGAAAATCATCGCAGCAAAGATCGACAGCGAATCCCTTTTAAATGGCTGGGGCGCTTGGTGCATTTATAAGGCAGTCCAGCTGTGATAATCCAGGTATGACACAMCAACGGTTTAACAGAGTGTTTGTATTTTCAGATTGATATATATTCTTCTGAGTATAAAGCCGGTGAGTTAACCTATCTACAACATGAGAATTTTAACACCATTACATCAAGAATCGCTTTTCACCCTACAAGAAACTTGATTGCTGGAGCGAATTCTAGTGGAAAGGTTTTGCTGTGGACCCCGTAGAGTTCGCTGACATGGAAACGTAATTTTGGAAGATTGGACAGTATTTTAACAATTGAATGACAAATTTTAAAAAGTGACTTCAGTGCGAGTCTGATTGTGAGTCTGTGCGCTCAACGTTTAAAATCATACCAGAACATGCGGGAATAGCCTCGAATCTATACGTAAATTGAATGTTTATTCTATTTTTCTATCCCATGAGCGCGGCTATTCCAGCCTGTACTTGAATTTTAAGAATTGTCAATAGTTCATCCGTTTTGCTGTTTACAGCTCGTTCAGAAAACGTTGAATATTATTTAAGTACTTTATAGTGYATTYCGCAATGCATTGTTGTTTGATTTAATTGCAGTTTTTGTTTGTTTKKTTKTKTKTTGKTTTKTTTTTCGCTTACAAAATGACAATTCTAAACTACATTGGTTCTTTTGAAGTTTTTGACTGTACGGAGCTGGTGTAGTCACTCTGATTCGAAACCAAAACCTCGATTTGAACTCGATAGAACAACTAACAATGCATTTCCAGTGCCGTAGCCGTAACTTTCGCTGGAAAAAATCGCGCACTTTAAATTTTGATGTAAATATGATGTAAGTGTCCAAAATTCTGTAAATTTGATGTAAATTATTTCCATTAAATTTACAGAATTTTGGACACTTACATCATATTTACATCAAATTTACAACCTTTAAAGCGCGCGATTTTTTCCAGTGTTTTTCTGAAATAGACTAGCTGTACGTAGATGGTTGTTCGAATTACACGTGGAGACTTGCCGTAAAATTGCATGTTCATCAATTTATCTAAAGAAAGTAATATATATTATAAAACTTGTAACGGCTTGCTACATAATATATCGCTTTCTTTATCTTTTATGTTCGTTGTTGCTGTTCAAATGATATAAAAGTAAAAAATAAAATGTTTTGTCAATAAACTGAATATTTCATGAACGTTTTATCTGATCTTCCTGGACCCAATTGTCCAAAATATATATATACCTACAGTGGAACTCAGCCTAACGCGGCCAGCCACTTAATAAGACCACCTTCGTTGATCGGAATAACGAGATTCCACTGTAAAGTCATTGGCTTTACTAACTGACTGATGGGAAATATCTGATAGTCTGGGAGATAAGTCTATAAGCCATTTGCTCCATTGGGCAGTCTTTATTTTATCGCAAGGCCCTAAATGCAGCTGTAAGTTTAGTCCATAAGTACAACTTTGTATGTCTAATTAACAATTASACCTCGAGGTCGAGTGGACTACGAGCTAATAGCCCATGAGGCCGAGTCCGCGAGGCCGAATGGGMTATTAGCTCGTAGTCCACGAGGCCKAGAGGTCTAATTGTTTTAGTATAAACATACTAATCGGTCAAATAATGAAAACAAGTTAAAATATCCTTAAAATAATTTATCATAAATTATAATGAGATGCCGCCATTTTGATTCTCGCGAGTGGTCTATCACAAATTAGACCATTAGTAGAGTAGCCAATCACAGCGCAGTATGAGTGATAGAYCATTAGAATGTTTATACTAATAGCATATAGCCCCTTTCGGTCTTCAGGGTTCGTCTGGGTCCTGGAAAACCTGGAAAGTCGTGGAATTTCGTATTTTGGCTTTCCAGGCCTGGAAAGTCAAGCAAGATTTTGTCGAGGATCATGGAAAAATATCTTTGTTTACATCTAGTCATGTAAATATAACTATTATTTCCTGAATTAATTTAATGGAAAAACACTGATTATCGATTCTTGTATCATTTATTCATTTGCATGAAAGTACTTTTCGCAAAATTCTCGACGTTCCATTTCAGGGTGTGACGTCACTTACCAACAATRCATTGCGTGGTTGTTGTCGTTTTGCGGCGTCCAAAGCTTCGAACAAATTTAACGTCTGGTTGCACGAAAAATACTCCGAAATCATGATTAAAATTATAACTACAATCGTTTGTGGCATTTCTGCCATGATAATGCTTATAGTATCGATGGCTACGAATTACTGGCTGCARTGGGTGATTGCTACACACGGACAAAACATAACTCACTACCGAGGTCTAACCAAGCACTGCTGGGAAGCGAGACACAATGAAACTGGTGCATTTATTGCTGAAAACTCAGATTGTGGAGATTGGTYCGAGGGTGGGATGCCAGGTATGTAGTAAGTTAAATAGGTTGAAATGTTATCATTTTCGTATAACATAGAGCGTACGTAAGGCTATACATAGATCCAGGCATGCTACGTCTGTCAAAAGACTATCTAATGCCCAAAAATAAGAAATGTCTACCAAATATTCTCTGTTCTAGTTCGTTGGGAGTTTAGCTATCGGTTTGGTAATTAAATTCGTTATTAATTTTTGCCTAGTGAACCATGTCTTTTGCTTTATGCGTAAGAGCTCGCGTAAGAGATATGACCATCCTTAGGCATACTACTTCATCGCTCCATGGTTGGTTGACAGTCCAACTCTTTCTAGATTATCTGCCGTGTGAACTAGTTTTCAGCAAAGGTTTGTCGATACAGGGCAATCTAAATACGTCTTAGTCATGATTAAGATCATAACGACTTTCCAGTGTGCTTTGGTGGCCATGTTRATGGGAATTTTGGGCTTAGCAACCGATTATTGGAAGGTCTGGTGGAAGGAGGAGAGAGCTACCAACATCACTCGAATGTACAATTCAGGCTTGTTCTTTGAATGTAACGAGGCGACTAGTAAATCTGTTATCGTGATCAATCATAAATGTGGTGATCTAGCTCAAACAGGTACCGTCTGATACTCTTCAAACGCGAATAATTCGAATATTGATATTTTTTTGATTTGTGCGTTTTTATACTTATTTTAAACTTAAGCCTTAAATTTTTAATTCGRCTATGATTGCCAAATAATGATTGTAGTTGTCAAAATATGACAAGTCTAAAATGTTACTTCCCACCTTATAATTTTGGAGTATTGCTAGGTATTATATTTGATGTTTACTTAAAAAATATTTAATATTTATCTTCCAAAATCGTAGCCTACAAAAACAAGACAAAACAGCTGACCAAAGAATTTAATTATAAAATTAGATCTGTACATGAACTCATACAGTATTCTAGCTAAGATGTTTTCTTTTTCTATGCTTTCAATTTAGTGTTTTTATAACGTAGATCTTGTAATGCGTGACATTTTTAGGATAMCTTAAGTGCTTCTTTGATGGGAAAATAGATTTATAGCTTGAACTAATCAAATATTTATTWATATCAAGATAACGTAGCTTAAATCCAATATTTATTCCACTTTCTTCGTTTCATATGAATAAATTTTGATTGTCTTTTAGGATTTTTTCTTCATTGTATTAATTTGTTTTGATTATCATAACTCAAATTTGAGCTTTTCAAATTTGTCGAAAAGTTGTCAATATCATACATAATGTCCTCAAWCATGAAGGACAGCTGAAAAAGGTTATGCTACATACAATGTAGCTTGTTTGCTTTAGGTATATGCTTTAAGTTATCACTGATTTKAGTTTTCTGTAYGCTRATAATATCTGKCAGTCTTAAAGTTTTGTTGTGTTGCTGTGTTCTGTAATATATTGGTTGAGATTTCCTGAAACTTTGAGATGATATTTATCAAAAAGTGACTGGAAGCTTACAGAGTTAAAATATTCAATAATTTTATGAATTACTTTGAGTGATGTRAAAGTTCCAGAACAATCGAGCATACAAAACAATATCACCATTAATCATTATACTGACTGCTATTAGGTTTTGTCACTGATGTGCACAACCATGCAGAACCACAATCTATCATAGCTAAAGTTGTCAATAACTGAATTGTGATAGTATTGTTTAGTATTATATACACAGTCATTTAGAAAAATTACATCATGTTGTCTGCTAATATTAAATTATACATTTGTTGCATCTTGGATAGTTTGACACTCCTCTAGTTAAGCTTCTCTTCTTATATGTTATTGCTGCAAATTAATCAAATTCATTGTCACTCTGCTTTTGTAAACTATTCTAATGTTTTCTGCATTAAAGTCTTAATTTTACAATTATTATTTATCATGAAGGTACCTTGGTTATAATTTAAGTTAAGACAATGGTATAGTGTTATGATTAACAGACAAAATGTCTGCAATTGCTGTGTTATTATATTGTCTAATTACACTATATGATGGAGGGTCCTGAAGGAGGGTTCCCAATTCCCAATGTAATTTTTAGTAAAAACCCAATTCCCACAGGAARCCCAAAATACTGCTCTTTTTAGGCTTAACTTAAGTTTATTTTGACTTTCTCTTCTAGTCAACAAAAACAGAATAAACACATTGTTTTTGCATGAAAAGGGATATTGAATGGGCAAGAAATAGCCAAATCCCATTCCTAATCCCAATGGATAAATCCCAATTCCCAGCTTTAAAAAACATCAAATCCCAATTTCCCCCTTCAGGACCCTCATGATATTATTATTCCATTAATATTAACAATTTTGTTTTTTAGACTGGACTGGTGTAGTTATTGCTTTCCTGGTATTGGCTCTTCTATGCCATCTTGTTGCCTTCATTTTGGCTTTGGTAAATGCTTGTCGTAAAGGAGARCCATTCCCTGTGTTCTGGGTCTGYGGGCTATTYTTCTTTGCKTGTAAGTTGATTAAATTTAAGTTAATAATTAACCTAATAATTTCATGGTCACAAATGTAAGCCTGGATTGACAACTTGGTTGGCTTTTTGAGGTTGAGGTTACAGTAAGTGTATATTTCTATGAAAATTTACTTAGTGTCAATATCCTAAATTATCATTTCAGTTAAAAAGCTTGCATTGATTAGTCTTGAGTTCTTCTTCAGCAGCATGTTTTTAGGGGAGTAATCAAAACTGTCGAGTATTTACCATCTTACAGCAGTACTCGGCTGCATTTGCTATATATCATTACTCCCCAGCTTGCATTGAGTTGATCACTACAGCTGTCTGAGTGTGGTGAAACCAGGATAGTACTTAATCACCCTCTGTGTACCTCTCTTACAATTGTGCATCATTAACTACACAMTCATTTCCATTTACAAACTGAGCTATTGCAAAGAACTAATATTAATGAGATTGTATTGATTTCAGGTCTTTTTGTGATCATTGGTTTGCTTGTTTATACATTCAAGAACTGGCAGAGTGATGTGTACTTCAGCTGGTCTTACGGTGGTGGCTGGTCAACTGTGGCACTCTCTGTTATAGCTATAGTGCTAATTATGGCAGATCGCTAATCMTCTTTGCAGTTTATCAAGTTTTTTGTACCGCCCCACTTTAAAACTAAACAAGGCTGACTTCTAAAGAACAGTTTTTGTCTGAGAGCATGAATTCTTTCATAGAAGACTTTGATAAAGTAAAACTAAGTGGACTTTTTTTGCCCTTCTTTGTTTAGCTTGTAATATGGTGTCATGTAGTTTACATCAAATTGAAAAAACGTTTTCAAGTAACATCTACAGGTTATTGTAGGTACACAGATATTCAATCATATTGRCCTAAACATGTTACATTAAGTAGCATTGTTCGTAGAGAAGGCCAGTGCATGCAGTACTGTAGTACTCATAGTACTTGCTTTCCCTGCTCCCTTTCAGTCTGTTTTTTTAAGTTAAAACCTTTGATGAATAAGCCTTTTGGAACCAGGCTATGTTTTTTGAATTAGATGTATCATTATTTTAGAAATGTATTCTGTGTACAAAGTGTGGATGTATGTTTTTTATAATGTAAAGTAGCACAGACATTAATTCTAAAGAATATATTACAAAGCTACAAGACTAACATTAACCTTTACTCCGACGAAGGATTAACGTACGAAAGTAAGTTATTGCACCTACTTTTCTACGGTGTTAGTGCTCACAAAGCCCTAACAGAGCCGATGCATTTAATCTGTGAAACTTTATAAAGCACTAAATTATGCTAATTCCTGTATTTTCTATTGTTTAATCAACACTATTTTGTAGTAATAAACTTAAAGTAAGATTTGTTTCACAGATTAAGTGTATCCGCTCTGATAATTTAACAATTGCAAAAAGCTTTCTACAATGGAACCCCGACTTACAATGCAGACACGCTTACTTTTTATGTCAGCCAATATTAACCGTCATACTTTTCTGACCAGTTAATACTGGCGCTTTTTGGTGTCCCTTATGTGCCTGAAAAACGAGGTTCCTCTATTATTGTTATTGATACAGCCATTTGCAAAATTCTGACAGTTAGCATGTAACAACTGCAGTATGGGTAATTTCGTGTTGAATAAGATTGCAAATCAAACTCTTGCAATTTATTCTCCTTAAGAATAATTATTAAAAAACTATAGTTTTGATTGACTAAACAATCCCGTTAAACTTTGAAATATCATTTATTGTAYATGAATACATTCTATACTGCAGATTCAGAAAACGTAGACTCCTGACGATAGTGTATCCCAAGACCGAAATGCATTGCTGGTCGATTTTTCATCGACCATACTAGCTCCGTACAGTAATAAACAAATGGAAAGTTTAGAAGTGAAAATAGTTGACCATATAGTTGGTTTGGAAATTGCTGTGCAGTAATCAGTATTCAACGTTTTCTGAAATAGCTCGAGCTTTCAGCCTTCTTTAGCTACAATCTTGGACATAAATGTTGACTATTTATGTTAGTCTCCTTCGCAGCCTCCCCTTTTGTCGGGCTTCCTGTCCCTCCCAAAAGAACAAAATGCTTCTTTTGGGAGGGACAGGAAGCCCGACAAAAGGGGAGGCTGCGAAGGAGACTATATTTATGTCCACGATTGTAGAAGAGTGTAATTATTGATGTATTTATATGTGTTTGTAGTCAGAATTTTTTCAAATCACTCTTGTAAGACTTTTGGCAAAAATATTTACTTTTAAGCTAAATACAATATCAAGTCTGTTTTATATGGAATTTTGTCTAAGAAATGCAAATTTTTCTTGATTGTCTAAGGACGTTTGGCTGAACCGGACGTTTATGTGCGATTCCACGTTGTGGACATYACATTCACAGGCCAATTCTAAATCTTTAACTTCCTCTAAATTCTTTGCTAATTCAATCTAGAAGCTAAAAGTTATATGTTGGATACTTAAATGGAGTTTCTATAATTTGGTACAAAACGTTTTCTTTTTTACTTTTTGTCAACTGAAAAATAAGCTTCTGTGTTGTGGACGTTCATATGAAACTACCACATATTCAATTGCTTTTCTTTTATTGCATTTTCCTGTGATTTGAGAGATGTTTTACAAAAGTCAGTATTATGGCTACACTTGTTGGTGATAAAAGCTTCTACAATACAAAAATATCAACAATATTTCAATATATTTTTATCTTCAAAACATTGCGTTGTGGACATTACATAAAAACCGTTGTGGACATTACATTATTGCGTTTCTTCAAAACTTTTTGGCGGCATTTTGCTGACAGGTAAATTGATCTGCATTCAACACAATTGTCTAATTATTTTGTTCGCTCACTTACGTAACTTCACACCTTCAATATCAGACATATCAGGGGAGTAACCAGGATTTTCATTGTGGTTATCCTTACATTATACAAAATTGTTAATATGAAGTCATATATGACTTTAATATGATGTCATATCAATCTTTGGCTTTCGTGCAAAACAATCGTGGTCGATAGAGTAGAAAAGAAAAGCATATTACTCGAACTCTGTCCAGAAGTTTGCGGGCTTTTTAGTCGGACTAGCCGAGGAGTTGAGTTTTACCTTTTAGCCAATCAATCTATCTATCTGTGTATTTTGTCGCCCTTTGGACAACCGGAAGTTAAGAATTTAATAATTAACTCATTGGATTGGCTGTGTTATTACATGACCGGAAGCTCAAACGTATAGATATACGAATATTGTTAGTAAATGTTAGATTCTACTTGCGCTTTTTACTCGGGGTTCCAAAGGAATCCCGAGTTTAAATTTCCGGTTTCTTCGTCGTCGCTTATCAGTCACAAATTGTCCAAGCTGTCACGTGACATTCGAATCTTCCATGTGCTATCTTGGATTTCCTATCTTTTTAAAAGCGAACTCTATACTAAGTCACACAGGCTCAGAAACTACAAAGGACTTTTGAGTGCCATCAGAGTTCTAATGAGCCAAAAAACCGACGATTTTATTACGCGTAAAAGATACAGGACTCTGTGTTTGTAGCCTGGCATGTGACTATTAAAGTGAGAAGTCGACCAGCTTGCCGAAGATCAATTCTATCATACTACAGGAATCAAGACCTATTCCAGGCTTCTGAGTTCCAGGCTTCTGCATAGCAGGGCACGTGTAAGCATAGCAGGGCACGTGTAATGACATTTTTGTCTTACTGTATTTTAGCGAAAGCGTTGATGTTTTCTCAAACTCATTAATAATTCATGACTTCATAGTCCAATCGGATGTTTATTTTAGAGTCACGTGCATACCTTTGGATACCATGATCCAACATCGAATGCTGATTAGTTCCAAACCCGTGTGTTTAGATATCCAAATTCATGTGTTTGGATATCCAGACACATGGGTTTGGAACTCATTAACATAAATTTGCTAGGCTCTTAAAACTTCTCCGTTACTTTTAACCACTTATCTTTTTGAGGTGTTTTTTTCTCTTCTTCTTACTTCTCTAATCTTTATTTTAACTAATCAATTTTTTGTTAAGTTATTTTACTATATTATATTAACTACTTCTTAMCATTGGAGTGGCTCGAACCGGTGACCTTTGGGTTGAGAGTCCAGTGCGTAACCAACTTAGTTAGTGATGATTTTGTTGAAAGTATTGGGTTTGACGTATTATTTATATTTCTCCTTAGCGCTATGTTAACTTATTACACGTAGAAAATCGATAG